AGCAGTTCAGCAGAAGAAGATGCGATCACTGGAAGAAGACGTTTATTGCCCTGACGTTTCGGGTTCTCGCTCGAACCCATCACCAGAGACGGTTGCAGGTAAAGGTGGCGAAGGCACATAGACTGCAGCATTTATAGCACGTAGCTGCCGTGGGGTTACATGCGTGCTATAATTAACAGCCCTTGTGATCACCCCTGAGGGTCGTAATCGAGGCGATGATGGCTTGTCAGTTCGCGTCCGAATCGTTCGTTGCCGCAATTTAATCATCCGCGCTGAATGAAACGTTAATTATAGCATACATGTGTCCTCACGGCAGCTACCTGCTATAAATGCTGAAGTCTTTGTGCCTCCAATACCTTAATCTGCAACCGCCTCTGGTGATGGGTTCGAGTGTGAATTCGAAACGTCAGGCCAATAAACTTCTTGTTCCAGTGATCGCATCTTCTTCTTCTTCTTCTTCTTCTTCTTCTTCTTCTTCTCCTGAACTTTCCCTTTAACTGGAGGCAAGTTGTTAGTAAATATGTCTATTATCTCCAGAAAGAATGTCTAGCCCATCTAAATTCGCATTCTCAGCGAAATCATTTAAAGGGACCACATGGTTCTGCTGGCTGATTTTATTCCAAATTTTTGGCTTTCTGAGGCGTATGCCCCCCCCCCCCAGTATTATACAACTAGTTGTTACTTTGGACAGAAGACAAAAGGGGATGACGGAAGGAGGAGCCTTAACGCAGCAATCACTTTTTGTACATTGGCCTCTCCAACCTTCTGGCTAAGGCGCTACAGTTAAGACTGACAACGCTGTCTATATGGCGCTCTGTGATTGGTTGGTACGTAAGCAAAGGCGTGAACAGAGACTACTCACGAACTGCAGTCACTGGAGCGTCGAGGACGGCTACGTTATTTGTTCATTACAGTTCCACGCACGTATTTGTAAAGTGAACGGCGGTCGATAAGAATAATGCATCAAATTTCGGCGTCACTTTAGCACCTCCCGTCGTCTGGGTCCGACCACGAGTTTTTCAGGGCATGCCTGGTCCTTGAGGCTGCCGTAGCCTCAAGTCCGAGTCGGATTAGTGAGTGCGTCACGATGGGTGCAGTGTCAGCTAATAACCTGAGCTGTATCTCTGTGTTTTATGTGTTTTCCATGCCTTCCACACTACTTCTACTTATCTGCATTTTGGGGACCCAGCATGTGCTTTTGTGATACCATCGACTGTTTGGGCACCATTTAGATGGCTCCTAAAAACCATCTACAAATTTTAACCTCGCTACTTTTCCGCATTTTAGTAGTTCGTGCTTTTCACAGTAAAGCGAGGGGCGTTGTGCTGAGGTTTTGGTTTGGCTAATGTATAGAGTTGGAATTGGGATTAGGTTGAAGGCTAGGGTTAGACATAGGACCTTATATTTAGGGATTCATCTAAGATTAGGATTCAAACTAAGTCTGAGGAGAGTGAACATTTAGTGATGATTTAGGATTGAGGCTAGGGCTATGTTTAACCGCCAGTTCAGTCCTATCCATAACACCAACTCTCACCCCTACTTCAAACCCTAAGCCTAGTTGGAAACCTAGCGTCAATCCTACGTCGAACCTTAGTCGTCCACTTAACCCCAACCCCATCTTTTACTTCGTCCTAAGCCAAAGCCACGACAAGTTTAAAATGATGACTACTCAAATGCTGAGGTAACAAAAATGACAGCAGTGTAAGTGTATTTAATCCAGAATTCACCAAAAGTTCTAACATACGTTACCTTCCTTCCTCTGGCTGAAACATTATTTCCCTCGTGGGTCCCCTTTGGCCGCAGGCTACAGCCATTGTGATCGCACGCCAAGTTGTTTGTCCAGAAACCTCTTTTAGGGGTCGATCCACTGAACTCAGTCATGCGAGTCGTCCGATAAGCCAACAGGAGAGTGTTGAGAAGATCCATCTGGGCGTTTTTTGAAAGTGCCAGCGAACCTTTCGGTCTGAGCGTTGAGCAAGTGGATGAAAAGGCGGTGGCATCGTGTATCTGGTTCTCCATTTATGGTAAGTTGGGTTCCATTATCGGTCAGAGTCTGTTTTGAAATTCTCTACCTATTTGCGTCTTCTGTTTTGGCCGCCAGACCATTGCGAACCTCTGGTCATTTTGACGATGCGACCATTACAACACAAATAATCTTGGGCAGAATGGTATAACCGACAAAGACAAGGGAGACTGGAATGGCCATTTCTGGCTTATTAGCCGTCGTCAGCCAGCCATACCCAAACCCGAAGTGTGGAACACCCGAGCCTCGAACTCGCGACCTGTTGGTTTAGAAGTCCACGCCTCTACCCACCGGGCCACAAATAATCTTATTGAAAAGGTATCAGCGGAGTCCACATGAATTCTTCTCCGGGCTCTCACGACACCTGGTCATGGCGTTTGTTGGGTTTTCGAAAGTTCCCCGTGAATCATTCATATGAACAGCTAGCCAGTTAACCTTGTACCAGGGTTTCAAGTTTGCAGTTTTTGCAAGAGTTATGTCGTCTATCAACCGTCATAAAGGATGCAAACGGCTGATCGCCCCGACTTCTAAAAGACTTCAGAGACAGAGAGAAAGAGAGAGAGAGAGAGAGAGGGGGGTGATTTTGTCGTCATCGGGTCAGCCAAAAAGCATAGACTTTCAGAATTGGATCTTCTCGTGTGCTTGGCAGTGATGAAAATCTGTCCACTAACCTCCGCAGGTTGTTCGTCCTGGACCAGGGTTTTTGGTGAAATCATTTTTGTCTTTTCCACTGGATTTGTCCAGAGCCCCATATTTTTGTGCCGCTATATATTTGGGTTTTTTAATTGTTATTCAAGAAAAGAGTTTCTCATGGTTTTATCTCCTTTGCAATATTTTAAGACAGTGTGAAGGTTGATTCTCAAATTTTAACATTATCCTGCATTTATTTTCCTGCTAGTGTCATGCTAGCAGTATTACAATGTTTTCAGAGGAGGTGACCATGTTCCGGAGCACAGTCAAGCGCTTGAAGAGTATATAAAGGACCCTGTTACAACGCTGCGCCTTTCACGCGTGCTTTCGACATTTCGACCGCCATTGCCGACGATGTCCTTCATGTTTTTCACAACAGGTTGAGAGCAGGGACGGTGGTTTTTGCATGAGTTAGCTTACATTGGCAGTAGACTTGCGCTGCATCTACCACACCACCTCCTCTCTGCACACCCGAGTCTGGTGTCAAAACAGAGTCACGTTTCTAATTATAGGACTTTTAAGACTGCGAAATGCCGGTTCATGGAACATCGTGTCTCTGCATTTAGTAATGTTGCCTGTACAGTTCAGAATCCGGTTCAAATCCACTGCTAAATTTTACTAACTCCACACGGTCTCCTCTTAATGCCATATAGAAATGTATGATCTTCTGCCACGGAAAATAAACGGCTTGTAGTTAAGAAACCCTGAGGGCTCAAAATTATTCGGGGAATGGAAAATTTTTTTAAAACCAAATTATGCACTTTCTTCAAGTAATGAATTTGAAGAAGACGTGATTTCTTACCAAATGAGTGAATGAAAGCATATCGTTTCGCATGTTTTCCGTGAGATATATTTGAATTTTTAAGGAAATAGGAAATCAACGAGAATAATGTATACCATTTAAGTAGTCATATTTTAAAGAGTGCAGTTTTTGCAGGCGGTCGAAAAGAAGTTCACTTAAAAGCCGGCAGCCTGAAGTAACTGAATTATCATGGGATTATGCTGCGTGGTGACTAATATTACAACCCTGCTTAAGGTGTCCTTTCGAGTCGAAACCGCACTTCAGAATTTTAGTTAACATTTCATGGGTTACCACATCTACTGTAAGTGCTGGGCCAATGTGCAGACATATGCGGATCCGGGTACTGAAGGTACTTACATACTCGATACTTACAATGGATTTGGGCGGTAATTTTGTAGTACACTTGCTTTGCTTTTCGCGTACCGTCGCTTAATGGAGCATTTTCTCACGTATCTACTTAGAAACGTTCTGTTTACGATTTGAGAGCAACCATGTACAGAAGACAGTCCAACCGCCTTCTCGCTGAAATGCCCAATCTCTATTTCTGACCTTAAGATCTACGCGCATCCAGATTACAGAGGACCTCTAATCTGAGTTTTAAAAGAACAAGGACCCTCTGTTCATTGCTGTTGTTGGTAGAAGCAGGACTGTAGTCACTGCACTTCCGCATTTAACCTCTTTAGTCAAAACTGTACTATGTTTCTAAAAGCTCCTGGCTTTTTATTGTCCTTACAAAATGTGAGATGGATTGTCTGATGGCAAAAACAACCGAAAACGTCCACGTTTGAGGTCTGCCACGGTCTCTAGTCGCGGTATGCTAGTATGAGCGCCGTTCCCACAGACGTCTGTTGAGAACGCGGGTTCTCGCAGGTAATCCCAGGCCAGTCACTCATAACAACCCCAGCTCCAAGTCTCCGAAACCAGAATCGCTCTTCTAAACGGCCAGCCTAATGGGACACCGGAACCATCGGGTACGCGCCTACGAATGATATGGCCATTAAGTTATCAGTTCTTGCTGTATTGTTCTTCCAGACCCATTTCCCACTCCTCAAAAATTTCGTCATTCTCAGCGGCGGCTGAGTTAAGGAGGCCCTCATGGCGGTCCATGGTCCACCTTCCGCCCTCTGTATTGCAAGTGGAATATGGTTAGAGATCTCAATCCTGAATAATCCCAGCCATCTACTGAAAATTCCCGAGTTCGGATGTGCACATTTAGACCATATTCATGAATATGCTATGGGGTTGGTGTTGACAACAGTGGAATTCGGCGGGTTAGGCACCGTATGCCCCACAGCGGGGTGAGAGCAGGGACGAGGTTTGCGCTGCATTTACCGCACTCACTCCTCCCACGCCTGCGTGAAGAGAGAGTAAAGGAGACCACAGGCACGGCTGCTACCTAATTGGACACCATTACACCTCACCACAGGCACCACAGGCACCACCACCGCCGCCGACGCCGCCGCCGCCGCCACCACCACCACAGGCACCACAGGCACCAACACCACAGGTACCACCACCACCGCAGGCACCACCACCGCCGCCGCCGCCGCCACCACCACCACTACCACCACCACTACATCGGTAGTTTTTGGAGTTTGTGCGAGCTCAGGTCTCACACAGTAGAGAATGCCTTCATGGCAACACTGAGAAGGAGCCATTGTCATCTGTTTCTCGTTCCCACCGTCTGGCCCGCAAGCCACGACTATCAGCGCGTTACAATGACCAGAAGGCAAGTTTGACTGCCAATGCTTTAGAAATTAGGTGCTGGATAAAAGTTTCCTCAACCCCTATTTCCTTACCTTCTCCCACGTTCTGATGGCCTGTCCAAGCTAAACCAACTGGGAAGTTAAGTGCACACAATGACGTGATGACGTGAAGTGAAGTCGCCACCCAACGTCCACCACACCTGACCTGGAACCGCACAGAAGTGAGAAATGCCGTGAAGGTCGCAGTAGGGAAGTGGCATTGCAACCTGACCCTACATTCAGTGCAGGGATCATCGTGGCTCAAAACCAGGAGAAATGGTATCTCGGTATTGGCTTCAGTCTTTCGTCCCTCGCCCAGACCCCAGTGGCTTCATCGCTGGCTGGCTGGCGATGAGATTGGACACAGTGGCAGGCGTGAAACGGGTCTGATCTCCGAGAACTCACATACATCTACTAACCTACCTTCCATCCAGCATCCAGATCGTTGCCGCATGGGACGATCAAACTGCCGCTCGAAGTGGGTCGTCCAGACGAGCCATGCCGCCTTCGTGTTAGACCGAAACCGGGACCGCATTGATTCATGACAGGCGTTAGTGAAGCTGTGACATGTCTGAGTGTGCCTTTATCAGCGCTGAAAGCTCATGTACAGTGAGTGACCGATCTCATGAAATGTTAGTTAAAATTCTGGAATACGTTTCCGATTAGGAAGGATTACTTAAGTGGGGTTGTTATGCTGATTATTATGCAGCATAACCCTATAATATTTCGGACTCGCCAGGATGTCGGCTTTTGAATGCACTTCTTTTTTATCTCCTGCATAAACCACACTCGGTAAAAAATGACTACTTAAGTAACATGCATTTTTCCTATTGTACATTTAATGAGGAGCATTAGTCAACGGACATTTGCGGTATTGCATGCATGGACATCGCAAGGTCTTAAAAATCTCATAATTAGAAACTTTTTTAAAACTGAAATATGCACTTTCTTCGGGCATAAAATATGAAAACGATGTAATCTCCTTCCAAATGAGCAAAAAAAGCGTATTTTTGTGCATTTTTTCTGTAAAAGATGATCGAATTTATAAGACCATCGAAAATCAGTGCGAAAAATGCATGCTACTTAAGTAGTCGTTTTTTACCGAGTGTGGCTTCTGCAGGAGATAAAAAAGAAGCGCATTCAAAAGCCGACATCCTGGTGAGTCCGAAATATTATAGGGTTATGCTGCATGATAATTAGTATAACAACCCCACTAAAGTAATCCTTCCTAATCGGAAACGCATTCCAGACTTTTGGCTAACATTTCATGAGATCGGTCACGGTCATAGTGAGTGTCTCACACAGAATCAGCGGACCATGTGCCAATACTGACCTCGTTTTGGCTTGGCACATTTGTTGCGCAGTTCGTCTGGGAGGAAGGGAATAGGTCACGTGGTCATTACATTCGGGTGACCGCAGCACGCGTCAGTCAGCATCAGGAGGCCACAACCGTCGAACCAGCCAATCAATTCGCCACCTGCTGGCACTCACTTGAGGGGGCAAATGTAGTCAGTCTCGCTCACATCACTCTGGTTGAAATACGCCGAGACCACGTCAAGCTTCTCGGTCGTCAAAAGGAGGCACTCTACAAGGTAGGCTCATGCGACAGTCTGGAAAACTTTAATGACCTAGTATTTAAGGAAACTGCCAGAGTAAACGTCTTGCTTCTCAGCTAGCCCTTTTTCATTTACTTGCATATCGTTCTTTCTTATTTTTCGCCGATTCTTTGAAAAGCCTTAATCTTTTTAATAGTCGACGTGCCGCCCTGACCCATGTGGTGGAGGTGTGTTCACCGATAAGTTTACAGGGCATGCTCGTCCCGTTGTGCCTTGGGGATTCAATCTAGAACTCTCGCAAAGGGTTGAGGCAATGTTTTCCCGGAATAATTTTGAATAAGGCAAGGGCGACGAAGCATGCGGAATTTACTGACGTCATACATTTCGAGACCTCTCATTCAGCTGCACACGGTCATTGCATAGTTATATGACAAGGCAAAATGTCCAATCAACGATTGACCTAGAGAGATAAAACGTGATAGGTAACATTAAACATGAGTCTAGTATGCGGGTGCGCATGGCGAGGGGGGGAGGGGGAGAGAAGTCATCCAAGTGTGCGTGTTAGGATTACAGTGATTTAAAGTGCAACGCGCGGGCAGCATTCAGTCATGCCAGGGAGGGGGAGGGGGGTGGAGGCGAAATGGGAGGGTGTATATGGGAACGGGGTTTCGTCCATAATCGATCCTTACCCTGGTAGTGCCAGGTTTATCACGTGGTCCAACTGCTAACAGAGTTCTGGTTTCCTCCTCCATATTTCGGCGGCCTCTGCAAAGTTTGCCTTATCATTTAACTATGCAATGACCATGTGCAGCCGAATGAGAGGTCTCGAAATTTATGACGTCAGTAAATTCTGCATGCGTTGTCGTCTCGCAGAAGTACCAAGAAAAACAAGGGAGACTGAAATGGCCATTTCTGGCCCGTTAGCCGTCGTCAGACAGGCTTACCCGACCCCAGGTTTTTAAGAACTCCAGGAGATCAAACCCGAGTTCTTTGATCATCGAGTGTTATTAAATCGAACACACTACCATGGAGCCAGGGGTCAGTCGTCCTGTTGGTTGTGATTGGGAATACCAGCTACGGAGGAAGTGATTTCGCTGATCGGGCAATGAAGCATGATTGTCCCGTTGCGCCCGGAGTTACGCAAGGCCGACAAACGATAGTCAGAACCGAAATTTCAATGAACATTTGGGTCGAAGACAATCAACTACTGTGGAATAACCACGTAATGCCCATTCTACAAACAAGTAGTACTACGAGTAGTATGAATTCCATATGGTAAAGGTATAATACCGTACTCCCGACATAGATACTTGCTAAAAGCCCAGACACGTGAAATTATTCACCTGATTATTCTCTGGAGTTCATATACCAGAAACCGCTAGAGAACGCTGGGGGTCCCATTGAAGAGCCGAACCCCTCGCAACTGTGTCACACAGCGGCAGAATATCGGCGAAACACGTGTCTGGGCTTTTAGCAAGTATATATATACATATGACGGACTTTCATCTGATTCACCGATTTCTGCGGACACTAGGTCTTTGTCTTTTTGGCACATGCTTTATTGAGTATTAAATTAAACTCCTCAGTGACGTGCAATACGTATCTACATTTGCGGGTGGTACAAAAACATTGTGTTTCCATATATCATTTAAACGAATCCTACCTAGTTTTCGATAAAATTTATGGAATTCATGCTGTATAACTGTGTAAGAAATATTTATAAAAATGTGTGAGTGTTTATAGGGACCTAAAATATATAAAACAGTCTTAAAAGATATGGCTTTAACTGATCGGGTTCTCCCTTTTTTGCGGAGGGTTCTGAAACACAATCCTAATGATCGAAAAGGGATCGCTGTATCCTCATTTCTTCTGACAGTTGAAGCAGTTTAGGTGCATCTTCTAAAGGTCTCTGGCCTAAGAGCTGTTGGACCAAATACTGTCTCGCTACATCCCACTAAATCCTGTTCTACTGAGATACCAATTGTTTTTAACGCATCTTATTAACGGGTGTCTCGAGGGATCTTAAATATCTGATGCTTGAAATACTGTCACAGTCACTCCTATCTCTAAAAGGGTGAGATTCACCTTCAACCACCGTCTAAGCGAGGTGTAAAATGTCCCAGTGTATACTGATTTCATCCGAGTAGCTTGCTTTTTGCCAATGATGTTCTCCAGCCATACAGACGAACACGTCAAGAGAAAATGCGGAATAGACGTTAGGAGAAAAGTCGGCCAAGGTTTACACAGACGTTCTGTCAGTCGCTATGCCTTCAGTTGGACGATACAAAATACAGGGATTTCGCAGGCACGGTAGATATCCTTCAGACAATACCACATTCGAGGTTTGGCTTCATTCCTCTTGTCGTCTGACTTCTGCCGAGGTGCCGTTCAAGGTAATCCGAGGGGCCCTTAGATGTTATTGACATTCGCCTCCGTGGTCGAGTAGGCAATGTATCTGGGGTAGTTGTAAGTCGTATTGGCAGAGCCTGAGGTAAGAAACAAAAAAAGGGTTCCTCCATTCTTGCGGCTACACTCTCCATTGAAGGGGAAATGAAGGTAAAGGGTAAGGTCCTATCATGAGACAGTTGTATAAGACCTCTTTTCGGGTTATATGCCTCGTCCTACGTCCAAGGTAGGGTTATTTTCTGGGCAGTACTTGACCTGCAGTTTTCGCTTAACGTTAGATTTCAGTTTATAGTAAGGTTCAGTGTTAGAATAAGGGCTAGTTTTGGGATCATCATCATCATCATCATCATCATCATCATCATCATCATCATCATCATCATCATCATCATCATCATCATCATCATCATCATCATCATCATCATCATCATCATCATCATCATCACCACCACCACCAACACCACCACAATAGGCACCACCACCGCCTCTTAAGCGTCTTAGGTTATCGTTACATTTACGGTTGGAATTACGCCAAGGACTACAGTCAAGTTTTCGATTTTAGGTTTAGATACGGTTTAAAATTGTTTCAGTGCTCACGGTTAGGCTTAAGTTCACATTTTGGATTTTAACGAGGATCGTTTTTAGCTTTAATATTAAGCTCTGTGATTCGAATTGGGGTTAGACGAAGGTTTAGATTTGACGCTAGGTTTTCCGTGTTGACTTCAGTGTCGTTTATTTTCTTCATTGTTGTTGTCATATAATTTCATTGTTTAAGTGTCATTTCATATTTTTTTGTGAAGTACTAGTATGCCACACGACTACGCGGCCAATTCAACTAATCATTTCATGCTATTTCTTATATTTCTGTTACGTAATTTCGCCACATTTATTATAATCTTATCCTCCGCTGTGTATTGGACTGGAAATACTCTACAGGTGTAATTTAATGGTCAATTCTGCATGTCAGAAAATTGTGATATGCTATTATTCCTCTTCAAGGTCTGAATTTGGAGAGCTGGTATTTTTAATCACTGCGAGGCTGCAGTTTAGGCCGCATAACAATACGATTATTTGGATTTCATGCTGGCACTTTCCCTCCGCCCTACCTTTGTTTTGCGTAAAAGCGCGTTAAAGGGAACCTCTCAGTAACCTTGCCATTATTCCACTTTTTCTACTTACGGTAACTGGGCTAACTCATGAAATGTCAATTAAAATTCCGAAATCCGTTTTCGTTTCTAAAAGATTAAGTAAGGAGGGTTTTAAAACTAATCATTGTGCAGCATAATTCTATAATAATTCATTTATCTCAGGATGCTGGTTTTTGAACGAACGTCTTTCCTGCCGCATGCAAAAACTACACTCTGTAAAAAATGACAACTTATGCAGCAAGCATTTTTTCCTTGATTTTCGTTGCCCCTAAAAATTCAATTGTCTTTCATGGAAAACATGAAAAAAATATTCATTTTCCTACTCACTCAATAGAAAATGACGTCCTTCAATTCTATATTTGAAGGAAGGATATAAGTAGGTTTTAAAAAAGTTTCTGATTGTGAGATTGTTTAATACCGTGAAATGGTCGTCCATAAAACGTCATGTCCCTGCATTTACCAATGTACCTTGTGAAGTTAACAATATGGGTAAAATCCACTGCTAAATTTTATGAACCCATATGGTCTCCTCTTAATACCGTAGTGAAATGTATGGTTTTCCGTACGCAGAAAAAATACGGCTTGCAGTTTGGAAACCCTGAATGCAGGTGTAACGACAGGCAGGGTTCAGATTTACTCGAGAATTGGAAAGTTTTTGAAAACCAACTTCTACCCTTCTTTCGGGTATAAGATTGAAAGAAGACGTAATTTTCTACCGAGTGAGTAGGGAAATGAATACTTTTATGTATGTTTTTCATGAAATAAAATTGAACATTTAGGGCATCGAAAATCAATGAGAAAAATGCGTGCTGTATAAGTTGTCATTTTTTACGCAGTATAGTTTTTGCATGCGGCGGAAAGAATTTCGTTCAAAAGCTAGCATCCTGAGATAACTGAATTATTATAGAATTATTCTGCACAATGATCAGCTTTAAAACCCTCCTTAATTAATCTTTTTGAAACGAAAACGGATTTCAAAATTCTAATTGACATTTCATGAGTTAGCCCACCTAATGTACTTTCATCAACCCCATGATCCCCGTATCTCACCACCTCGTACTGCATTCAGGGCGGGAGCGTGGCCAAAGGCAAGTGCGAACTGTTAGATCGGAGTTTTTCCATCCTAAATCCTTTTCGTCCTTCACTTTATCGGACCCCCTACAATTGGCACATAAAGACAGACCCAGTGTCGTGTTTGATGGCCCCTTCTACCCTCAATACCATTATTTTTGTTATAATTAATTCGTTGAAAGTCCCCCCCTAAATCAGTTCGTTCGATCGGACCGCCGTACATCTGTCCCTCCTCCTGAAAAAGTTGGCATTCTTTAAGGTCTCGCCCTATTCCTTCACGGCTTTTTGCTTCACGAAGACTCCTGAGACCCTCCAACGGCCGTCCGAATGTTGGCTGAGCTGATATTAGGGTCGTTAGGTGCCCTGTCAACAATAGGACTGATCGCCAAACTTTTAAGAAGGCTGTGGATCATGTCTCGGCGTGGTCGTTGGAAAAATGATCGTCCACTTGAAGGTCAGGAATCAGAGCAATGTGGCTCAGGACGGCCGCCATCTTCCCCAGCTGAATCCTTCGACAGCCATCCCAGTGAGGCCACATCTTGTCAAAGCTGTGGTGCTACTCCGCCCTCTAGGCCCTTATTTCCCTTCATTAACAGAATTCGTAAATTACTCTATTACATCCGACGCTTACCTGTCTACTACATCCCTCACTCATCAATCTTTCGGTTTGTAGATTCCTGTATTCTCTCGCTTATGGCCTTCTTTTGTGCGAGAAAGTCTATTTCCACCTTAAGACGCATACTTCGCCTGCTTTCCTCCCTTCCTCTCTCGATGACATTTTAAAATGATCAGGCACTTCACTGATCGAAGCGCTAATGTAAATGCCACGCCATCTACGTTGATCTAATCGTAGCGAATGCCCTCCATCCAATCCGGCACGGTTTCCGCCACATATCGTTTGCCGTACGTCAACTTGAAAAGGATCCTTACTGGCAAGTTAAACGGGGCTGAAATACAACAGTCGTGATTAGACTTGTTTCCTAACCCAGCGACCACTTTCCCTCGACAGTTGATAAACTGTTTTTTCTTAAATGTGATGACTATGAAATTTGTTTGTTCTGTTTTCCATACCCAGGTCTCTGTACAGAATAAACACACCCTATTGGTTTCACTCCACCTCCACCAAAGAGGAACAACTTGCTGCAATTATGGGTTGCGACTTTCCTGATGTATTGGGCAGTCAAGCATGAACGTTTTATAAGTATAAGGAATAGTTCAATAATCAACGCACCCACACATATTGCCAATGCGTATTTGCCATTTCGATGGTAGCTTGCGCTGACCGATGGTGTAGAAGGCTGGCAGTGAGAACCATTGAAACCATGGGAAGCCTCTTTTACAGCAGTGCTAGAATTAAATTGTTTTTTTTTATGAAAAAAGTTATCCATCTTCCAGAAGAAGTGGTAGTCAATGGGGGCGGGAGGAGCAAGATCTGGTAAGTATGGTGGATGATAAAGAGCGTCCCTCTCAAACTCCTGTAGCTTTGACACTGTCCTTTGTGCTGTGTGTGGTCTAGGGTTGTGGGTCACGTGTCGCCCCTCTAGGTCAAAAGGTCTGAAGGCGTGTGCTATGCCAGTAATCAGCAAACCATGGCCCTCGCAGCCTGGTATGCGCTGGCAGTTCCCTAACACCTGGTTCCCTGCCGGTAGATGCGCTTGCGCTTCCGCTGGGTATACAGATGGTGGGCATGGCTGCCCAGTCATCATCCTCGTCCTTGTGACCCCTGTTGGGGTGTTGTTGTTGGCCAAGTGTATGTTGCAGACCAGGGGGTGCGGGTCCGACCCTGCCGGCGACCTGCGCCCTTCCCCGCTTCTGGTCTTCTTGACTCTTTCTTGGCATCGAGTCCAGGTGATGAATGGGGAAGGGAAGGTGCGACAGGCGCTGCGCAAGTCTACTATCATTTAAAAATAGTTCAGGTGCAAGTCAGTGTACCTGTCGAACCTTGCTGTGTAGCACACGGTGAACATCGTCGGGATCGACGACCGAACTCTCGGTCTGACGTCGTCTTGCAATAAAGTAGTAGTCGATCGCTTGACCGTTATGGGCTATTTTTCTGCAAGTGTTTGGATCATTTGGTCCAGCTGATTGCAGTTTACATCTGCCGCGATCGAGGAACCAGGTTTCATGGACCCATAACTGATCGCACCTGCGCCAGACCACCAAACAATCAACACCAGCTTCTTTTGATGAGTATCGCTCTTTGAGCTGTCTTTTGGTGGCTAGTCCTTGTCCAACCACCGTTTCGAAAGTTTGCGCCTACCTTATTGGATCTATTTCTCATCACGCGTTGCAATTTGATTCAAAATGTCTCACTTTTTGGCGAAGAAGTAACATCATTCAAGCTTCCAAATGTTGTTGTTTCTGCTTTTAATTCTATCCGCATGGAACTCACATATATAAATTTTCGCTTTCCCGTTTTCAGCTAGGTGAACTACTGTTTACTGTAGAGCAAAATATAACATTAATATTCCCAGTTGTCCGTGACGCCGGTTTTCCGAGAAAGAACTGATGCTTCATAATTGTACGGAATTCGACTTCTTAATCTTTAAACGAGAATAACGGTAAAAATGATTTTTCAATACATTTCAAAGCGGAAAATGATTTCGAGAGAGGGAATATTTACGACAGCTTTTTTTGCAAAAACAAATTAACGTCAGAATATATAATGCCAACGTGAAATAAGAGGCTGTCAAAGAGGATCATATGTCTCATTACAAATTTTCTATTTGACGAACCAATACGTAACAAATTCCATAAATTCTGGAGCGATAGGGGTTTTAACTTTTTTTTCAAACTACCTCGAAATAAGGAACGCCGTTATGTCCAGAAAAAGGGTACAGTTTTTTCCGTACGCTTTTTTCTCGCGTGTCTGATTGCATTGTTCTCGTCGTATATCATCCCGGATGTACGACACTTCGACTGTCGCGAACAACGATTTCCACCGTGTACCCCACAGAGCAGTGGTGGCAGGACAGTACACCTTTGTGGTATTTTTCCCATCCTCCCTTCTTTCACTTATCCGGGCCCGGTGATAAGATAGACTTAGAACGACCGAAAGCTATCTCGGGAGTACGTACTGATAAGATTGGACAGCCGATCTACGCGTGCCACACACAACACCGCGGAATGTACTGGAAGTCGCAAGGAGATGGTTCAAGTCTTAAATGCTTAAGAATTTCAGAAAGGCCACTTAGAGAAGGAGCCACCACTCTATGTGCGTCGGAATACATCTGACTTGGTACTGACCTCCCTCCCTGTTCGCTCCCTCCTGCGCTAGTCCACTGGTCGAGCCCGTAAGCCATCCGGCGCTGGGATTGAGTTCAGGGACTGGCGTGGACGCCTGGGCGCGCCACCATCCCTCACCCCACCGAAGTGAACAGATTTGTGCTCTGTAGCGGATACTCAAAACTTTCAACTAACGTGCTATTCACTTTCGACCCCTCCGCATCACTCCAAATCACCCTTGGGCTTTGGAAACTCGGAAATAATCAAAAGAAAGCGTAGATGGCAGAAATAATGGAACTCAGGGATGTCCTAAAGGGCTTTCTAATCTTAATTAGGCATATTCTATTTGATTTTCCGGTCGAACATTGGAATATTGACCCACCCAGTACTCTAGGTAGGCTCGCGCTGAATTCCAGGAGCATTCATTTTGTCAAATCCTGACACTGACCTTAGTTCTAACACTTCTAGTATTAAATACAAAACTAAACCTCACACACGCTCAACTCTAACCTTAATCCCAGCTCGGAATCTCCTAACCTTGGTCCTCCTAACCTAAATCCTTAGTTCCACACTCGCACTAATCCTGACTCCATGGTCTACGTGCGGTACGGGGAGGAGGGTACATATTTCAGTAGCCAACTAGTTTATTCGTAGGTTAGTACGTGCTTCAACAAATAAAATTTATCCGCTCAACATGAATTCCCGCGTCTTTTTGCTTTCTGTTATTCTCTAAATAGTAGTTTCTTTCAGCAGTCCTATCGTACTTTCAATTTATGGTGACGTTTTCTTTGTAAGAGTGCCACTTCATCCTTTGACGTGGCATTGACCTTATCATTTTGTTCGAAAACGGAAAGAGTATTACTATCAAAAAAATTAACCGGGACCACTATCATGCGGAGAATTTGATACGGAACGCATGTTTGAGAAAGGTCTGGTAAATGTCAGCAATCCCGAGAGAGTTATCAGTGAAATATGATATTGGCTTATGAGAGAATGCCATGCAGCCCACCCCGATTTAAGGCAAGTTTACGCGGTGATTTTTATGACTTTAGACCATAAAAAGCTTCCTTTAAAATCAACTTTGAGGAAGTTTTCTATGAACTTTAGACGTACACACAACTTTTTTCCCTCCAAATTGATGTGAAATGTCGTTGTGCGTTTTGGCTCTTTCCTGACCCTCAGTCTAACCGCTTAATCTAAAGGTGGAGGTAACTCTGGAGTTGGAAAGAAGTCGCAAGACAAACCCCTGAAGGACCTGCCCATAGAGGCGCGTCCTCTTGCTAACAGGTAGCAGAACAAGTTATTTGAAAGTTCTATAGGACTCTCGCGATGGATTTTGTCATTCGTAAGAGTCTGGAGCAGCCATACATAACAGTATTTAAAATGGGAAATTTTAAACAAGTGAGGTGGCAAGACTACTTGGACGTACGCAGTAACAAGCAGGCTTCTGGTCTAAGAGACTTCAACCAACCATGAACTGTTGGTGAGCTAACCAGTGGGAGAAACTGAACTCTTAAAATGCAATTTTAATTAAGAAGACTGTGGTAACTGCGCTTGCAATACTGATTAACATGAAGAATCATCATGAGGTACTTAATACATGTCAGGATTCTGGCTTTTCGATGCACGTGTTTGCAGCCACTTATGAATATTTCTCTACACAAACACTTATCACTTATGTAATGTGATTTTGTTTCACTAATGACCGAAGTCTTTCAGAGGCAAACATATTTTGCGGGAAATACACACAAAGGGTTTTTTAAAATGAATTTTTGGAGACCCACATCGTGTGCGAAGTTTCTAAAAAGTGGTATTGTTTTGTTTTACAGAAGTTTCGCGATTCCCAGATAATTTTACACCGGTCCTGTCGTTGTTTTGCGTCCGAGTTTCTAAATTACACACCATACACAGTCTATTTCAGTAGAATCATGCATTAATCCATGCCATTAAGAATACATTACCTAACATTAATAACGTCATGTAATATGCGTGGCTTATGTTGTATATATTTCGAAAATAGCACCGTTTATCGTGGGGATACAATGCCACATAATAAAACTTTCACTGTCTCAAACTTTCTTCTAATTTCATATCTGGTTAAGAACAGGAAGACGCACTTTCTCAAAGTATAGCAATTGACGGAAACATTAATTCTCGAAAATTAGAGGTAAGATATTGTTTGCACATAGGTTTTGCAAACGTGTTTGAAATTAAAAAACACGAGAAGGTCGCTGCTTAGCCAGCGTGTATGTTTTCCATGATAAGTCAGTGTTTTTAAAAATTTAACCATATTTTTCAGAAAATTGCTTGAAATTTCTCTCTGTTGCCATGTAATTTGTCTAGAGTTTAGTTCTCCCAAAACTGTGAAATTAAAGGGAAAATACTTTTGGTCCCAAGCACCACAATTTATCGTTTATTTGGAAACGTGAACCACACATTTGATTGTTACTCAAGTTTTCAGACTACCTTCGTGTAATTACTCCCAAAGCGAATTTACATGAGTCTTCACATTCTCTCCGGGAGTGACTTACGACTAGTATATGTTAACTTGTATACTTTGAAGGCAGCACTAGTCATTTTGCCAATTTTTCAAAAAACCTAAAATTTCGACCTTTATAATACCAGTATGCCCCATTCCTACTGCTTGTGATGAGAATTCACGTTTGAGCACATTCTTTTCCTAGGCAATATTGCTGACTTTCCACGGGTCCGGTATATTACGGGTTAGGGTAAGGGCGCGATTACAAGAACTCCCTCATAACACTGATGACCCTTCATTAAATCCCAAAAAGATCACTGTTTGGGTTCGGACTTGAAAACAGGCATCCTACCTGGAATTTAACCTAAGATCACGTGCATTACGGAGAGGACGTTTCTACTCCGCATCTTATCATTATGGAAAAGCTTACAGTAAATGTACCGTCTGATAAGGTGTTAAATGAAATCCTAAAAATACTTTCGATTTGAAAAAACTACTTTAGTGGGGTTGCGATATTACTTATCATGAAGAATAACAACAATGTATTTCATTCATGTCGGGTACGGGTTTTGGAATGAGTTTCTTTTCGGTCGTCTGCAAAAAGTACACAACGTAAAGACTAACGGCTAAGGTAATACGCAACTTTCTCATCGATTTTCGATAAATTAATTTATACTCAAAAAGTTTGTTTTCGATTTTAGAAGAATTTCCACGTATGATTTTTTAGGACTTAGAAATGTCCATACATACAGCATCGCCTCAGCAAATTTATTAATGTTTCCTGCAAAAGATGCGGGAGGGGTTACTTAAGCGCGGTTGTAATACTGATTATCTTGCGGCACAATCCTGCAAAATTTCGAACTCGGTAGGGTGTCAACTTTTGAATACACTACTTTTTGAATTTCCTATAGAAATCATACTGGGCAAAAAATGACTACTTAAGTAGCTTGCAACCTTGTCCACATTCGTTGTACAATTTCGGAAGTCCACTATAAGGTTTTTCAAACAGCATAGAGAAATATGTAATGTTTCCTTGACGGAATATATACACCTAGTAGTTTGGAAATCCTGAATGCAAGTGTAACAGCAGATGGGGCAAAAGCATTCCGGAATCAGAAAAGTTTTCGAAAAACATATAGCATTCTTTTTTAAGTAAAAAAGTTGAAGCAAACGCAACTCGCTAATAAATTAATACAAGACAGGACATTTTATGCACGTTTTTTAAATAAAATGTGATTGTATTTATGAGGGCATCGAAAATCA